AACTCCATCTCAGCCAGACCCAATACAGACTCCCTCAAAGAAATCTTTGGAATCCTCACCAAGCACATGAAAACTTCTAGAAATGTTTTTAGTTAACCTTTATTAAAGATGCCTATTAATGGTTTAATTTAGACTGGCTGAAAGCACAAAAAATTGTTAGGTGGCTTTTGCTAAAGTTTTGTTCTTGTCTGCTGATAGCTTGAAGCATACAAAGCGGAACTGCCAGAAAAAGGTGGAGGGAAATAATAGAGCCTTTCACATAAAAAAAAAAGTTCAAATCCCTCCCTTCATAGAAAATGGTTTTGCAGTCCTGTTCTTCCTTGTGGTGTGGTTGTTACTCACACAGTAATAACTCCTGCTTCCCTGGCATTAGCTGGATCTTTTGGAACAAATGTCGTGTGATTCCAGTGGGTTCTGGGCTCCTGAATACATCCAGCTAACTCCTACGTGCTGAACAGAGAAACAGGCAAAATACAATACATGGGAAAAGGGGATGGAAGAGAGAAAAAGGGCAATCAGAATCACAGACTCACAGAAGGGCAGAGGTTGGACGGGACCTCTGGAGATCATCCAGTCCAACCCCCCTGCTAGAGCAGGATCACCTAGAGCAGGTTGCACAGGATGGCGTCCAGGTGGGTTTTGAATATCTCCAGGGAAGGAGACTCCACAACCTCTCTGGGCAGTCTGTCCCAGTGCTTGGTCACCCTCACAGTGAAGAAGTTTCTCCTCGTTTTCAGACGGAACTTCCTGTGCTCCAGTTTGTACCCATTACCCCTTGTCCTGTCACTGGGCACCGTTGAGAAGAGTCTGGCAAACACTGCTCATCCTGTTCCATCCTTGTTCCTTTACCCCCTGGACCACTTTGGTCACCAGCTAACCAAAACATCATGGCCACTTGATCATGAAATACAGATTAATCGGCATGTGGATGGGTTACCAGGACAGAGATTTTGCCAGGGGTGAACCTGGGGTTGTCCTAATTGTGCAAATGTGTACAAATTAGATAGATAGATAGTAAAATTGAAGCTTCTCTGTAAAGTATTTTTCTTTCCTTGGGCTGTGACTTTCAAAGAAAAGACATTCACTACTTTCTAATTCTGACTCATTCTTAGTTCATCATGACATCACTCAACATTCAAGAAACTTTGCAAAATTTATTAAATTGTGAATATTTTAGTGTAAACACCAATAGTTGGGATATTCAGAGGCGTACATTTTTGTAGCTCTCTGAAAAATAGGTCACTGGCATGAAATTCTGCTTACTTCTTTCATGAGGATTATACAGCTTTGAAGAATGAAGTAGTTCTCCAGACTTTAAAGTTTGCATCACCTACATTAACACTTACAGGATGTTTTCTTAATACAGATGGGTGTAGCAACAGATGCTAAAAATAAGGACGCCACATCCTGCACCTCAGCTGGTCACAGAAACCATCACAAGCTGTTATTTCTGTTCCAAAAATCCACAAAGTACTCTCATCATAACTGCTTGAATACCACTGAGATGAATACTCAAATCTGTATTTACATAATGGCTGTGATGTTTTAACTTTTAGTAAGCGCTGTGGGAAGTAAAACCCATACATTTGACTGGCTGCAAAACCAGCCACAAATAACAGGAATGGGAAATACTTGTGAATACTTCTTGAAAGACTTCCATGCTGGTCTGTCTAGACAAATTGACTAAGAGTATTTATTACCATCCCCTTCTGGAAGATAACACAAGGTTCAGAAAAGGATCGTGTGAGTTTTAGTCAGCCCTCTAAACAAGAAAAATGTATTTAAATAGTGTTTGGGGTTTTTTTACTATTTATACAAGCAATGGCTTTGTGAAGTATAATTGAACCTGATATCATCCCTGTCACTGCATTAAGAAGATAAAAATTATAAGCTTTACTGTAAAAGCATGCAGTTAAGTTTCATCATCATAATGTGCAATCTTCTTCATTATCATAATAAAACTTGCTGTGTATTGCTCTCCATGTGGAGAACTCTTTGCCAATGGTTACATTCACAGTTGCAAAGTAAATTAACAGTTTCCTCCATCAAAGTAAGCTGTGCAACTTTCAGGCACCCGTATAGGATGTGCCGGAAAGGTAAATGCAGACAGAAATCTCTTTCTCTCCACACTTCCATGTGTGGGCCTGCTTGCTGGACAGCCCACACGAGGCTTGGGCGTGCTGCGCTGCAGGGCTTTTGCTGTGAGAAACACTGTAAGAAATTTAGAAGAGGGAACTGGTTTGGGTCAAGAAGCGCAGGGGTATTTTTTCTGTTGGAGGCTGAGGATTCACTGTTGGCTACAGAACAAATACCTCTTCCCATAAGGCAGCTTAAAAAAAATAATAATTATGTGAAAACAATGGTGTTATGTTAGTTCATGTGGAAAGTTTAGCACGCACACATCTGGAGCAATTAGATGGGATCTTCTTAGGCAATCTGGAACATCTGTGCAGGATGCCTCTGTAATGGCAGTGCAGTAAGAAGGATGTCATGGCAATTTTTTTTATATATCTATATTACACATTGGCTCAGCTTGAGGTCTAGTGTGCTGTTGCTGTTGCCAAAGCCTGCATGTCCTTTGGCTGTAGATTCGCAGCACTGTCATTCCTGGTACGGTTCTGCTTTCCATGACAGGATTTCCTGGAAGAGTATCAAAGCCGTCTTAGCCCCGATCATTTGTATGGCAGTGAACTGGCTGCCAAAGTACCCGCTCACTCCATCAGATTTCAATCACCCGGCATGCAGTGTGCCACCAGCTTCTCCAGCTCGGTAACTGGGAGCTTGTCAAATGCAGCTTTTTGAAACAGTAAGAGACATCACCGTGCTATGAGCAAACAACATTGGAGGAGGAAAATCAAATAAACCAGAGAGTGGTTCAGGCTTCCAAATTTATTCCCATTTCCTAATCTTGACCAAGCAGTGACCAAGCATTTACTTTGTGACATTTTTTTGCCACCACAAATTATTGTTTTGAACTGACTTTGTAAATTGAAACTAGCTTCATTAAACGACAGACAAACCCCCAAAAATTATGTGGAAAATGCTCCTTATTTGGGAAACTTACAAAAGTAATCTTGATTCTTTTCTGGTGCTGAACCCTTTTTGTGTGTGTCCCTGAACATCCTTAATTCAACCTCCTTACCTTGAACCTAAGGATATTTCCATGTGGGATTCATCTGGGACTGACAGGGTTGCTGTACATGGCTCTGTTTTGGCACAATAATTGCCTGTGTGTCTCAGTGTGGTGTCGAACTGTGCTGGGGAGCGGTGCTGGGAGCGGGCGTACGTAGCTTCTCACTGTAACATTCAATCTCAGAAGCCAAGGAAGGGGGGCAGCAAAACCCCAAGCTCATATATGCAACATAAAGCAGCAGAACCAGATTCTGCTGAAGACATGGTTGGTTGGTTTTCTTGACAAAGTTTCTAAAATCTCTGCCTCAAAGCCTATGTTTCTGAAATGACCAGTTACGCAGAAAGCTGGTGATTACAGCAGGTCTACAGGAGGCACCAGTGTGTGGGTGTCACTTCAGGGCCATAGATTGTGCAGGTGATGCTAGTCATCCACCTGGGAGGTGGCTGCAAGACAGTGAGTGCATCGGGTCTGGGACATCGTTCCTGTGCTGCCTCAGGGACGAGTGAGCAAAATTTTCCAAAAATAGAGGCTCTTCCCAGTGGCCCTATTAAAAGTCAGGAACAGCTGACAGGGTGAGGGTTTTTCTTGAGGTGCTGATGACGTACAGTGTACAAAGGCCCGTGAGCTTTGCTTCCTGCTTTCTGCTGGTCCCTACTCTGCTGCTAAGCCATAATCATTTTCCCTCTAGTTACCATCTGAGGACAAAGGCTCCTGAAGCACATGCAGGTTGCCTAGCAAAATCGAGATGCAGCAAGTGAAATAAGGAGAGGTGCTATTTGAAGGTGATTGGTGCTGATTGCCTACTAAAATGGGCCACAAGTGGTGAACAAACAGGCAGGCTGATTAAAGAGGAAGGGTTAGAGTGTCGGTATGGACTGGGTGATACTTCAGGTGGGAGCTGCTGTGTTTAGGTGTGTGAGAAAACTGCCTCTATGCTACTGCAGTAGTAGCATGTGCATTAGATCGCCCCAATGAAGCATTGCACAGTCCAATTGAAAAAGAAACCAGACTCGTGACAGGTTTTCATTAACAGTTTTGCTGTTAACTAAACCAGCCTCGATATGATGCAGAAGTCAGTTTCAGAAACTTTTAACTCTTCTTTCTTCTACTGCTGCTGCATTACTTTTAAAGCACAACACTACTCTCAGACGCAAAATAATGTCTAGCTTATAATGATTTTTGTTCATATGTACAAACCCCAGTAAAAAAAGTTGAACACAATGTACACACTGGGAAATATAATCCGGGAATATGTGTCAATAACATGATTGTTCTGTAGAATAATCCTGCCCACGTTTCCCTTCAGAGATCTCTTCCTCTTTATGCGAGCTGTGTCCACATTGGAGCTGCTGGCTGCACATGCCCGAGCCTCATTCTCTTCACAGCGGTCTGAGAAAGCAGTCAAGTCCATGTCCACATCCGTGTCGTGAAAGCAGCCATCGAAAGCCATTGCTTGCACTGCATCAATAGTATACATTCCTGAAGCCTGGCAACAAAGAATAGTTATTCTGCATCTGGCAGGAGCCATTTTAGTAAATTATAAATAAGTAAAACAGAAAAGAAAGAAAACTTTCTCTTCGGTGTTGTTCCCTGTGTGGAGAGCATAGGGAGAACAGGGCTACCTCTCAGTATTGCTATCTGCAGGGCCTGCCCCCTCGGGCAGGACATGAGTGAGGAAGGGGATACATGCGATAAAACACACTTGTCTGACTGATTATTGCCAGCTTCTGGCTGGGAATATGTGCCCCAGCTTCTGAAACAGAAAAATTAAACTCTGCCTCTCCTGTAGGTCTGCATTGCTGGAGTTGTGGGAAATGACTTCAGATGTTTCCATGAGTAGTTTTTTGGTGGGATTATCAAATCATGTGAGCAGCACATGCACTCTTTTTGTGATTCTCCCCTTGTAATATTCCAACAAATGAGTTTACATGGGGGGGATATTCTTGAAGCAAAGGTTTTAAGTGAGTGCTTGATAGAAAGCAAATGTTTTGCTTGTGAACGTTTCTGCTTCAGGCACACTTTTCTAAAAATGTCCTTGTCATTCATCTGATCTTGGGACAAAAAGGCATTATTAAATCCATCCTCCTAACCAAGAATGGCAAAGCAGGAGAAGGAGAAATAGACACTACTTCACAGGAAACAGGAGGGAATATTACATGAGCGCGTTCTGGGGTATATTTCAGAGAGAGGAAAAATACCTTGATCAATAGGTATTTGAGAACAGAATGAAGGTTACCTTCCTCTAGGGGAGGAAAAAGGGAAAAAATATCAGGAGGTGTACTCCCTAATCTCTGCTACAAGAAAAGGAAGGGAGAGAAACCTTCTCAAGACCCAGAGAGGATGATACATTTCCTCCCTTCAGCCAAGTAAAAAAAAGCGAGATACAGAGATGGTTACTGTAGTTATCACAGTGGCATATCAGGATTACTCTGTGGCTTCTGTGATGCTTTCTGAAGGCAACAAAACACAGAGGTTTGTACCTTGCCCCTTTTTTTGAGTTGCTTTCTCTCTTCAATTGTGGTGAGATAGTTCACTGCTGCATATTCGATGACAGACAGGAAGACAAAAAGGAAGCTGATCCATAAATACACATCCACAGCCTTTATGTAAGACACTTGAGGCATTGAGGCACTTACTCCTGTCATGATGGTTGACATTGTCAGCACTGTAGTTATACCTGCCAAAGAAAAAGGGGAAGTTATCATAATATTGGCCAGCTGGTTCTGTTTAGCTCATCACCATTGCTTGGACAGCACAGCTTTGTGAGGGCATGTGATTGACACTGCCTTTAACTTCATTGCACAGGCTCTGAAAAGTGGAGTGAACCATGAAGGACCTATCACATACAATACTGAAACCAGAAAATCATCTCTCTGCTCAGTGCGTGCAGTTAGACCTGTGGCACACCAGGTTCAAACAGCAAGGACACAACACCAGTGATTCAGCAGCATAAGGAACACATTTCTGTGACAGCTTTAGGCACTGCTATAGAGAAGTGAAAGTAGGTTTGTGGTCTTGCCCCGCTTCCCAGAGCCAGGATCTCTGCTGTACACTTTCTTGTCCCAGAGAATCACCAAAGAATCACCAATTTGCCTCACAACCCTTTCTCAAGTTGTACTTCTTGAGAACATCTATCAGCTTGTACATCTCTGTCGTAACTCCTTGTCTCTCTCAAAACACTCTAGCATAAAAATGCTATACGAATTGAAACTAAGAAATATTTTTTGTTGACTTCAATGTGTCCAGAATTCAATGCTCATATTTTCAACCTCTCCTCTTACATGCAGCTGTTAATCTCATTTTGTTTCGCTCTGTCTCAGGAAAAAAACCCACAAACCCACCCACCAACAACCAACACTAAACCAGGCCCTGCTTTTAAAGAAATAAAGGTAATGTTGGAAATGAAGCCATCTCAATAACACCCATGAGGCAGCACTGGCTGATAGTGTTGCCTTTCAGCTGGATCTCAGTGTAGCCTTTCTCCGGTTTTATGCTAGTTCAAGTCCACTGGAACATACAAGAGTTCTCCCTCTCCCTCTCTGCAAGTTCCTTAGGTTGAAGGATGGAGTTTGAAATATACTGTATAAGAGGAAATTTATTTATTTAAAATATGTATACTCTAGGCTAGGGAGTTAAGCTTTTAAAACTTTGATGTTAAAATTGCCTATAAATTATGTATGCTTATGCTAATGAAATCTGCCTTATTCATAGAACTCCTCATGCACAACCTTCTGCAGAAATCCATATATAAATTAAAGAACATGATCAGCAAAACCATCTTGACAACATTAGAAATTACCTACTGAGAATTAAAACTTTATTTTTAAAGATGAAGTTACATTTCTTATAAATAAAAGGAATTGGTGGATGCATTAATAAAAGTAGGTAGGAGGTACCATAATTTCTTTTTAGACTGACAAATAGATTCATATCTCATGTATTAATAGCTTTAGACTGTGCCAATAGAAAGGGATCTGCGGTAGCTACAGTCCTAGTTTTTGTAGATTGATATAGCTATAGATAAAAATTGAGGGCTCCCTCAGTACATTCAAGTTTCTTAAACAAAGATCCTCATATTTTTCACTTGCCTAAGAAATATGTCAACATACAGTTGGCTTCTGGGACTAGCATCAGTGAGAAGAAAGAGCAGGAGCTTCTTTACTAATTCTTAAACTGACAGTTGCAGGACTCAGATGCATTATGGTTACATTAGATATCTTAATAAATTTCCATCAGATCTTCACACAGAAGCTAATCTTTGGGGGAAAAAAAAAAAAAAGTACTAATTCCAAGGCCATCAGCATTAAATTCCCAACAAAAGGCAGTCTGGAAGTGGTATCAACTGATTCATCACTGAGAAAAACAATAATGTTATTAAAAAAGCACTGTAATTAGTCTTTTTCTCCTGAGCTGTGGTGTTCAGAATTAAAACTGTGAGAGCAGAAAGATGCCCAACTTACTCTTTGGCTTCCACAGAAGCCTGTGTGCCTTGCACAGTTAAGGCACCAAAGCAAGGTGCCTAACAAAGAAAGGCTTTGTTACATAGGACAAGCAGCAAACTGGTTCCAAATTGGTAGGAAGATATCAAATGTTTCTAGAGAGAAAGCAGAGCCACAAAGCTTTTAGATGGGTTATGCTATGCCTATTAAGTAACTCTGATGAACCATGGATTTGGAGAGGGATCTGACTACCTGTTACTACCTGCTACTTTGCTGGGAAGAGGGGAGGAAAAAAAAAAGTCTTTGCAAAAAAACCCCCTCAAACCCCAAACCAATGAACAAACAAACAAAAAACCCCAGAGATTAAGTAAAATTCTGCATAAGGAAATCTGCAGAATTGTTCCTTTTTCCTGTGGTGTGTGAACTGTTTTCTAATATAGCAAAGCCAGTCAGAACAAACATCCCATTTCCTAACATAGAGGTTGACTAAAGGAAGTTGTGGTAGTGACACAGTGGATGTCAGTGGTCAGTGGATAATAGTGTTGTTCAGGCAATTACCTGATATACTTGCTCATGTGCTGTGTAAATAAGAAGCTAAGGTAACTCCAAACCCTTCTATTCCTCCCAGAATAATGTAAAGGTTTACCTAGTGATACCCTGGCAGGAACAGCTCTTCTGTCAATCCAAAATGAAACCCAAGACAGCATCACCATCAGCATGGCTGGGAAATAGGATTGTAGCACAAAAAAGAATATATGTCTCCGGAGTGCAAAGTTTATAAAAAGTCGATTGTACCAACCTATTGAAAAAAAGAGAGAGGAACAGGTTGGGGGAGAAGAGATCTGTGTTATTTGTAAGCTCTGTTCACTGGCCCCCTTATTCCAGGAGGAATGGTGTATCCACATCAATATTAGTAAACACCTAAGAAATATTGCCACCACCTTGGTTTTATATAGTGCTTTACAAACCGTCCATCATACCTCATTAAAATACTGCTGCCTTGGGAGTAAAGGATCACGACTGCATGAATAAAATACTATATTATAATTGAGGTTATGAAATTGGGGAGAAAAAAAAAAAAATAGACTTCAAGTGAAACTGCCAGGAGAATACAGACAGAATATAATTGCCCAGTCCAGTTGGCACAGGGAAGCCAACACCCTGACTCCCCCAAAAAGTAACTTGCCTTGTCTCACGCTAGGAATACCCAGCAACAAGCAGCACTTCTTTTCCTACGGTCAGACCTGTTTGCCTGCCCAGCGTTGACTTTAGAGGAAAGGGTGCCACCTAGTGAATTTTGAGGCATGGTCCTTCTGTGCGGCAAAGCGTGTGTGCTACACCTCCTGCCATGGGAGGGAAATTAGTTTACAGGGAGGTGAAAAGAACACAAAAGTAGCGGGCTGCACACCATCTGCCTGTCCAGTACAAAGAGAGACATCAATGAGCCTGTGTTGGAGCAGTCATGCCATCACAAAGAACCACTTTATAAAGAATATCTCAACAATAACGCCATCTAATATTAAACATGTCCTATGTGTTTCCAGTTCCAGAGAAGGTTTTTGGTTTTAAAAATGATTGTCCCCAAAATGGCTTGAAATTGTTGCTCCTTTGCAGGCCAGGGAACTCCAAAAGCCTAAATGCTACGCATGTCTAGTTCACTGAGATTCACAGTACAGGGTAAGGAGAACCTAAAAAGCAGAAGGCTGCTTTGTGAGCAGCACTTTTGTTCATTTTTAGCCCAAGACTCTTCAGGGGGAGATGGCTCCCATTATAGTTGTGCTGATTGTTCCCCACTAGTACTTACTTGGGGGGGGCAGGGTCTGTGTGTAATCATTTTCTTCCAACAAGAAGCAAAATAAAAGAACAAGAGAAAGTGGAACTTCCTGATTGAAACAAAAATTCAAAGCTAAAGCAAAGCACCTGTCTACAAAGGGCAGTGTTCTAATTAACAGATATGGTCATCCATTTATTCAGGTACTTCCCAGTGGTCTCTGTGGCTTAAAAAAAGTCTTTCCTTTCACCTTTACCCTGCTGAGTAAGCTCATTATCAAAACATCTGCATGTAAGTGTTAAGCAGTTACACTTCCTAAAGTCAAAGGTGCTGTGAAGTTGCTGCAAAGGCCTGTGTACAGGGGTGGTGTGAGGTTGCGCTGTTGTGCACAAGACCATATTTGCTTGCATAAGTGTTTTTTGATGAGAATAGCAAGGCAGAAAGAAGCCAGCTGAGTTCCTGGAACCCAGTTTCAACACACAGTGATAGCAGTTTGGTGGAAAACATCCCAGTCTCCTCCTTGCAACAAGGACAAATTTGACGTAGCTCTCAGCAAGGCTCAGTTATGATAGTAAGGTATCACTCGCCCTCTTCTCATATGACAGTGGCTCTTGAAAGCTGGAGGTCTGTTCTTAGCTCATACACAAGCAAGAGATAAGGATGAAGAACCTGATCAAGCTGTGAATTCCTCACTGCTTAGGCTGCATCATAATTTAAACTGGAATTTCTGCATTCAATATCAGCCACCACAAACTTGAATGGCTCTTTTTTAAATGCAAATCCTGTAAATAAAATACTGTAAATAAATCTATTTGCAGCTTTCCTGTATGTCTTAAAGGCTTTTTTCCCCAAAGTGTTATGCATTTCATCATATTACATGGAATAATTTCTATTTTATTAATCTGCCTTGATATAAAGGGCAATATCCGCACTGAAATGAATTGACTCAGACTGGGAAGTACAGTAGCAAGCATGCTATTTTATCGGGTTAAAAGCGTATGGTTGGATTACTTACACAGAGAAGTATTTCAAAATTTATAATTGCATGTACAAAGAAAATAAAACGCACCTTGCATGAAATCAAAACTATAATAAACTCCTAAAGCCTTTTGCAGTTTGCCAGGAAGTGTAATTCAAGATCTATAGGGAGAAATAAAAACCTGTCTGGGACAGATACCTTTATTTAAACAACGTAGCACTGACATAAAGGGATTTTTTTTTCTGCAACTTTATGTATAAACATGGAACATTAAGCAAACCGTGAATTAGACCTCAATAGGTGATAAATGCTCTCATGTGGAAACCTTATAGTTAGAAGACTTTTAATGACATTTTACAGCTCCAAAAACGAAGAGATTTTAGACAATAAAACACAATGGGGGTCCTGTTGTGTGCTTTCTAGTTTTTTAGGATTTGTATTTTCAAGATTTTCTATGTAACCAGGACCCAAAGATTCCTGCAAACCCAATACTCCAGTGGCTTTCAGAGAAGCACCGTGATTTTGCAAGAGCTCACAACAGCATATATTTGGTTGTTGCACATTTTTTTCAGGTTCTTATTGTCAGATGTCAAGTTACAAGTATTATTATGGCCTCTTCTTCTAATACCAAGTGTTACATTGGTAATGTAAAGAGAACCGAGGACTTAGGCCGACAGACCAGTGTGATTGACAGACCTCATTTAAACCGAGATCTCTCAGCAGTTAACAGTCATTCATTAGCAACGAATTTGAATGTGAAAGACATTCTGCATGATTGTGTCCCGTGCTTCTCTCTTCTAATGACAGGGGCTTACTATACCAGTACTGCTGTAAAAAGCTAGTCCACTGGAAGCACTGAATTCTTCGATGAAAAACTGGGAGAGGGAGATGTGCTCATCTGTGCTCAGGGATTTGTTTCCATGTTTCCAGTATAACATCAGATCATCTTCATTGTATGCATCTATGAGAAAGTAAAAACTAAATCACCTCTTCTGCTGGAATAATGCTTCTGTTTTCTTTTCTTAGGGATGGGAGACCACTCAAACAATTTAGGAAAACTCCAAAGAAACATTCTTTTCACATCAATTTGCCAGTTAGTTGACATGGAAACTGAGTTGCCGAGACCATATTCCACCTTGCTCCAAGTGGAGCCCGGTCCTGTGCCCTGCCAGCAGCTTACTTGAACGATGGGGGACATGGGCATGCTCAGGGTCACAGGGCACATAGGATCGGAGCTCTGGAGCTGCCACACTGAGCAGACTGCCTGAACACTGGGCATCTGTTCTCTTTTCCAAGACTAAACAACAAACCAGCATTCCAGTTTTACTCATAATCCAGATAAAATAAATTCTGATATACCAAAAGGCTCTGCAAAACAGTTACCTTTTGGTGTCCAGCTCTGCAGCTTACTACAGACAACTGAGTTGGGGTGAGAAAGCAGACATTTCACAATAACACAAGCACTTATTTTCATTTTTCCATGAGATCAGATATTGACATCTTATTTTACTTTTAACTTGTGCCTTTTTCTCAAGAAAAAAACCCCCGTGATTTTTTGACAGAGGAAACATTTTTAGATTTAGGCCTTGGAATATCAACCCAGTCGAAACAAAGGAGGGTGCAACATGGTTTTTCTGTCTTCCCAAAGCTCACTGAGTTCTGGAAAGATCCCAAACTGGCCACAGTTTCATTTGTACAGGTTGAAGGGTTCAGGTCACACATCAAAATAAGTGAAAAAGGTATTGTGAACAAGATGGAGTGCTAGTAAGAACACACATGTGAAGAACAGGTATGAATTAAACTTACAGCTTTCCAGTTCTAAAGAACAGTTCTGAGTGTCCAGAGGAAACCTACTGAAATCCATGAAACACATAGCAGAAACTGTTATTCTGCAGACAGGAACAGAAAAACAGAAATTAAATTTAAAAATTCACACTATCTTAGGGCTGTACGGACATCTTAGTGAGATCCCCAACCAATCTGCTGTTTAGAATTGTGATGACTGAGTTTTTCTACTTTTTTTAGACGCTTTTAAAATTGTTTCAAGATAGTGAGATAAAAACAAGTCAGTGAGATAACCTATTTTTTAAACATAAATAGTCTTTCTTATTAAGTACATTACCTTGGATTTTTAAACCCTGTACTGGCCTGATCCTTCATTAGCCTTTCACACATTACACTTTGAAGGGTTACACTTATAAAGATTAATAAGGGGAGTTCACATTTCTTGACTGGATTTTTCATAGATTGAAGTAGATAATATTACAGATTAGAGCAAATATTACTTCAAGTGCTATTTTCCCAGCTAGAATGGTTATAATATTTAATTGCATAAAAAGATAAGCTGCTACTTTTGGAAGCCTACTCTCTTCTTCAACACCATGGAAATGCCTTATACTCTAAAAAGCTTAAGGAAATCTAGGTAAAGACATTATTTTGCATTCCACCTGCTTTTTCACAAATGTTTAGCAGATAAATATCCCTCGACATTTTAACCAATAAAAACAAAAAGGCTAGAGGCAGCAATTTAAATAAGGTAAATATTGTCAAATTTCCCTTTCATGTCACAGCTTGCATGTCATGTGATGTTTTAGTTTGATTTTTTGAGTTTTTCCCAAACTGGATCCTACAGGGATTTAAGTGATAAGGGATATACTGGGTATATAAGTGATCTTTGAAAACTTGTGATCAGTAATCACACTGTAGCTGAATTTAAACAAGTGTAAGATTCTACTGGATTGAAATGAGATTGTAAGAGTGGTACATCTTTAAAATCATGCATAAGACTTCCAACTATGGATGTTTTTTCAGTCTTTCAGCTATTGACTAAAGGATCAGGGGAACAACAAGAAAATGTTGATTGTAAAGGAAGGAAGGAAGGAAGGAAGGAAGGAAGGAAGGAAGGAAGGAAGGAAGGAAGGAAGGAAGGAAGGAAGGAAGGAAGGAAAGAAAAAAGAAAGAAAGAAAGAAAGAAAGAAAGAAAGAAAGAAAGAAAGAAAGAAAGAAAGAAAGAAAGAAAGAAAGAAAGAAAGAAAGAAAGACTATTTTAGCAACAAATCTGGATTGTTGTTCTGCTTTGCTTCAAGAAAATCCTGGATGCTAGGCACCGAAGAAAAATGGTGGAATATGCAGATTTCTTGCACATAAGTATTTGGAATATAATCTACCTGCTGCATGTAAAACTGGCAATACAAAAAGGGTGTTTTAATGAGCATCTGATTCTTTAGGAACATAGGCATTAGTACCACTCAGGCTAGAAACGCATCGTTTCACCTTAATAATTTTAAAACTTTGGTTCACCAGCCTTTAGGTCACCCCTTTCCCTGCCTCTCAGTGTGCTAAGAACTGATAGAGAAGGAAAGGAAGAGGACAGGGCACCTGTCCTTCATGCTTATGTCCAGGAAGAGATCCACAGGTTTGGCAAGAACTTTGGGGCTCTGCTATTCACTGGCACAGGAGGGTGAGGCCGGCTGCAAGCTCACCTGTCTGTCAGAGCAAGGAGGAGTCACCCAGTACACAGCATCTGGTAATGCAGGCTTAGGGAAAGGTAGCTGCGCGAGCAGAGAGGACGAGGGCAAGGAAGAAAGGTAGAGCACCAGCTTGCAAATGTGATACAGGGCAAGGGGTCCCATAATGGAGGGGATTCCGAGCACTAAGCAAATGTAGTAAATTGATTCACACTGTGTCTGTCCCTCAGCTCTACTTTTCCTTTTCCTTCCCTCCCATCTCGCTTTTTCCTTTCTCTCCATTTCTGTCCTTCCCATCACATGATCCCTTTGGTCTGTAACTATTTGTGCACGATTTCTTACAGTTAATCTTGATGACACTTCACCCCTCCAGCAAGCTGACAGAATGTGTTTGCCCATCTTCTGTCTCTTTGTCACTCTTCCTTCCCCCAGCTGAATGTATGTCATACCCCCTCACATGGAGAGCCATCGCTGTAAGCCTTAGTACAGTATGTAGTTCCTCTGACCTCTCTCTCTCTCTCTCTCTCTCTCTCTCTCGCATGAAGCATGGAAATGAATGTAGCCATAAAATGCATACTTCACCTCATTGTTTCTTACTGGTCAGTATGATTCTTGAACGCACACTATATTAAAGTGGTGTACAGCTGCTGTTGTGAGGGTTTCTGCATGTCTTCATGAGAGGGTAGGGAAATTCATTACTTGTTGGAACAATTATTACCTAGCCAAAATCTCAAGTGCTTGCATAAGTCTTCAAACTATCCAGATTAGATGAAATATCACCGCTGTGCACAGGCCTAATTAGTAACAAACAGGAGAACTGTGATTTCTGCAATGCACAGGCCTCAGGGCCTTTACCCTAGGGGGAAAATTCCTCCATTAAAACTATTTCTGCCGCATCATCCAAATCTGCTTCATAAAGAAAAGCAATCAGAAGTAGACAGAAGGGAGACACATTTAATGATCTTGCTGTTCCAGTCCTGGAATTGCTATTTCGGTTTCCAGTTCCTTGTAGTCACACAACACGCCTGTCTAACATTGCTGGTATCAGCACCAATAATCTGCTCTCCATGCCTGTCTGGAGCCCCAATTAATATTGATGGCATGTTTACAGGTATCCTAGGATGAAAACAGCTGATACAGACAGTTTTAAAAGACCCAGGGGGAAGAAAACCACATTTGTTCTTTGCTAATAATTTTGGGCTTTACTTACTGTAAACTACTGCAATATTGCTAAAGCCACTGGCAATGAATTAGCACTTGATAAACTTAGTGCTATTTACTACAGATGAAAAAACTGCCACTATCCTGTGACAGGAAACCTTATGTGAATGATAGAAAAATATGTTATCTATCTCTGTTATCAATCCTAAATTTATTTTCCCACTGGTACAGTGGTTACCACTTCCCAGTATCTGATGCCAGGGGTTTAATGCCAGTCCAGTATCAGAATCTTAACTGCAAGTATGTACATTAATTTCTCACTGTACAGACTATTGGTCCACAATTTCAGTCATGTATTTTCTTATAAAAGGGTATAGTTCTTACCGTAGACTGAAGAGTACATTGCCATCAGGGTATACTCGGAGCATGACGTTTTCCACAGTTGTATCATGGATGAAAGATCTTTTGGAGTGTACAAAAAACACATCAGGTACCCAGATCTTTTTTATCAGTCTTCCATCAAAAGTCATACTTTTGTTTTTGTTACTACGAAAGGAAAGTCTTTCATCCTTCCAGTAATGTCTGAGATATAAAGTCATTGTGAAGTCCTTCATTTAATTAAAAATAAAAGAAGACAATGCTTGTTTTATTCACATACAATAGAAAACAGTACAAAGTAATCAACTCATGCAAAGGATCAATTTCTTCTCTGGACATCATCTGAAGGATCCTCAATGAGAGGAATCAAAAGCCACTCAATGAGTTTAAATATAGATTGGAACTACTTCTGAGATACTGCCTGTTTGCCTTCTCACTGGCGTCTGAGACTGAGGTTCATACTTCATTTATATTTAGATACAACTTTTACAGATTTCAGTGGTCTGCTGGATTGGGCCATCAGTGAAGTGGAAAAGAAACTTTAAAACCAACCAAAGGCAAATAGAAAGGTGTTTCCTTTGGAAATCTTCACAGGCTTTTCCCAGAATGGACTGTAGTTCCTTTACAAAGGGATTAATTTTGAGTTCTTCATGAGCATTAGGTCAATTTGTAAAATTCATTAATCTGTACCTTTGGCACAAATATTGCACAGGGGTTTTAGATTAGTGCATTTATGAATGAAATGCATGATAAAGAAACAATATGATTAAGTTCATAGGAGTAAACAAATTTTACAAGAACTAAATTTTTTTAAATATGAAAGATTGTTACAAATCATCCTATTCAGAGAAATAACATGATTACAAATATCCAATCTGAGCTTCTGCACAGCCTGACTGCTCTGTTCTCATCTATGTAACTCTTGCATTATTAGGCAGACATCATTTATCTCAGCAGAACAATTAATTCTGATAAGAATACTGGGAAGATACTTAGGTCTTCCCCTGGAATATGTTTTTATGCCCCTGTAAGATGATTTTATGGTTTGGGTAGGTTTGCAAAGGAATGCAGGGGTTCATACTGAGAGATCCCGTTGTAAGCTCAACACCTACGACTACAGCTACACTCACTGAAAAGATATTTTAAGTGAGATCTCTTTGCAAAGTTAACGTGCCCTGCTATTAGAGGATGGAGCAACTTGGCACTAATGTCTGGGTGGCGTTATTAGTGACAATTTCAGCTGAGGAATGAACAGCCTGCATTCCAGTGCTATAGGTCCTTGATTGCAGTGAGGGTGTCTCCTTCCTAGGACCATTCCTGGAACTGATTTTTCTGTTTCCATTTGTTATGACCACAGCTCCACCCATGCCAAAAGTGATAAAACCATTCAGATCTGCAGAAGCAAAGGACATGAAGCCTCATCATCTAATGTGCAGAGCACTAAGAGCTCATGGGGAAGTCTATGGGGCTTACTGAATGGCTGGCATTTTCAAATCAGAGCACTATCCACTCTGATCTGTCCCTCTTACCCGGGAGAAATGCAACATGAGCTTCCTAGTTTAAATGAGAATGACTTGCATGCTTCAAGGCAAGGATGTGCTCTTTAAGGGTTTGCTTTCTGTAACTGACTGTATTATTCTATATCATTCAGCTGGATGTTTCTGAGACCCTGAATTTTGGATGACATTCTTTATTCCAGTTCTACTAACCAACTTACCATGTCAACTTCAGATATGCTGTCAATGCTTTCTACCTGCACATCAATGCCCACAGGTATTGGTGACCCTTCAATATAACAGAACAAAAGAGTGATGAGGAGTGTAAATCCATATTTTTAAAGGGAAGACTGTGTATTAGTAACATACAGAGAGCATCCCATCTCAGCACTTACTATGGTTTGTCCACCTTAATACATTGAATGACAAAGTCCATGGCAACAAAGTAAAATGTGACACTAAACAGTTGCAACAATAAATACAAAATCTTCAGTGATCTTTTTGCAGCCAGACTAGTTGTTACTGGCATTGCAGCTTGGACAGCAGTGACAGCTTACTTGTGGTGCCAAAGCTAATGAACTGCTTGGAGTGCTATTTAGAACTGTCATTGGGAAAAGCTCAGTAAATATATCAAACACACCAAAAATTGCAAAGCTATCCCAGTTCCAATGCTTATTCCCACACTTATAAACAAAATATCTATTACACCTCCTAATTATCTTCAGTTACTTAACTTTTTAAGTTTGGCATAGATATTTCTGAAGAAGGATTGCTTGCTCACAACCTCATAAGGGCAAAGCTGTAAACATACTAAGCATGTTCTGTGATGGAGTGTTGTGTGTTACTGAGTACATAATTTATTATCAAGTACAATACATACAAACTGAACTAGATGACTTTATATACTACCCCACTATTTCATGCCACTGAAAAACGCTGTGAGTTTATAACACAATGGGATCTGAGTGAACGAGTTATGAAACCATATTTGCATTTTTATATTAAAGTGACTAAATATCAATTAAACGTACATCAAAATATAAAATTATTTCCATTCTTCAATGTACAATATTTAGCATGAAGGATCTAGTTCTATAGGGGTTATGTACATGTGTAATTTTCAGCAAGCAAGTCATTCCACTATAGTGATCGACTAATTGCTTCCTTGAGGAGGGAGAGGAGAGAGAGGTGTGTGTATATGTGTATACACACACCCCTTCCCCAAAGAATGTTCTGCATTTGGCATGAAAATCGATAGTAATTATTGTATATGGGATTCCAATTGCATTTGTTAAAAATAATCAGTTAAAATATTTTTAAAGTACACATTTAAAATAACCCAGTACAAAACATGAGTACAAGGAAGTCTGAACAGCAGGAGATAGCAACAGCTTTTTTAACTTGTCTTTCTCTTTTTCTTGTCTTTTCTTTTTATCAGTGTCAAGCCAAAATAGTCCAGAAATATCACTCTCCTGATAACCAGCCACAATGCTGTGTCTCTTTTTGGAATTATCCTTAAAATAGCAGCCCTCAAGGATTACACGGCTGCCTCCAGTTCTTATCAGTAGAGATCTTGAACTATTTTTGAGGTATTTTAAAATCTGGCTCTGTAGTCTCTTGATTTGACTTGTATTTTTTAATGGAGGGCTTGACCTCACTCAGAACAGATGAAGATGCATTGTGCATGGGAAAGCAAGGTAAAATGTGTTCAGAGTTAGCAGGGCACACAGGAGCATGTTTCTGCACTGACAAGAGCTGTTCTGTCTGGCTCGGAAACCATGTCTCCCTCTGAGAGGAATGCATCGCTCAGTCTGTTGGTCAAAGCTCAAATCAAAATTTAGGACTCCAGACAGCAAAGTTCAGTCGATGAGTTTATTAGTAAAACACTAGGCAGCATTTAGGAAAATGCTGCTTCTTTTGGAGAATAGAGACAGCAGAAGACATCTGCCCTAGAGGTTGACGCACAAGAGTATCAATGTATATATCCAGCCAGGCTTTTTCACACAAACCAATAAAAAAATTTATGTCTCTCCTAAACCAGTTTTGATCCTTCTTGTCTTTGTTTTGACCACACCACACAAATAGTTTACTTTTGCTAAATATCAACTCGTACCAAGTACTGGTACAAAAATGCCTGCTTGTAATCTGAGTGGAGTCATCCTCTCAGTGTTCCACTGAAATCTAAACTATCTTGTAAACTAAAGACAGGTTTAGCCTAAGTAGAAGTCACTGTGGGATTTATACGCTATGTGAACATCGTTCACAAATGGCATTCACATGTCAGTTAAATGCAAACACCGCAGAAAGATGAGGTGTTGTCTGTGATGAAACAGGAGAAGGCTACAATGCAGAGCTGACACCTGAGCTAGCTGCACACAGGGCAGGGTGGCTCAGGGAGCAGGCTACCTGCAGAAGCACAGCGCTCCACCCTAGGAGCATGAGCAGTGCGAAAGCTGACTGATGGGGGAACAGCACTGAAAAGAGAAATCTGGTCTCAGCCCTTGGCTCCTTTTAAAGTCCACACAGTCTGACAGGCACTTTCTAGATTTCTAACTGGGGTGAGGCGGCTTGTGCCTTGGAAATGCCTGTTGGTTACCAGGGCTGCTTAGAGTGACTGCAAATAGGCAGATGAACTGAGTATTATCTAACGTTACCCACCACAAAGCTTCAGCTTCTCCATATTGTGGGTGGGTCCAGTCTGTTACTCTGGGACTATGGCAGAGGTGCATGGTAGGATGTACTGGAAGTGCTCATATCTGAGCATATATATTTGATCTTAACTGGTATCACTAAAACTTTTGGGGAATGATTTGCATGACTAGCATGTTAAAAACTGTGGGTTTAGATCTGTTTATGTAGAATTATGTGGGTGGAGGGGGAGGGGAGGACAGGGGTGCAGCTCTCTACATAAAACAATGGCTTTACCAGTTTTTCAGTCAAGGACAAGTCTAAAGCAAATGAAGTTAAATGCCAACTGTCAACATCATTCAAACAGGCAAGGAGCTACCCACAAATCGTATCACAGAATAGAACGACTGGCTTTCTAAGTACACATATATCATGTGTAGTGAGGAAATGGTTTTTGTTAGTGACAGCTGCTCAAAGTGTGATGGTGGCAGTCCTAATATTTTCTTGGGATTTGCAAAAATTACAGACAATTTCCTACCCCAACAAGGACTACTCCAGTGTGGGCACAATTTCATTCAATAATTCACCTCATCTGGGCAGATATAAATGAACTGATCACAGAACTAGAAATCAGTGGCAGCTTATGATTACGTTGGCTAAATGCGCACAAACTGAAGTGCCATTTATACATAAATACACACAGAGGCACTTGATTCTTTGAAAGGACAGCTTGCACTAACTTGGGAACTGTTATAAAACCAAGTCAGTGGGGACACTGAACAGCATAAATGAGATCAAAAGCTATGGCCAGGAGAAATACAGTGGATGGTTCTAAAATGAATTAAATAAAAAAGGAACTGTTACAAATGAAATTTGTTCCTAAGTAGAAATGCTAGAAGTGTGAAACAGACTCCTTAAAAAGAGATTCCTGTTCTCTATTTGGGGAAAGGCCAAAGATTGTACTCATGCTGCTTAATGAGAAAATACTGTTCAGTCTAGCATTCACCACAGATAATTATTAAACAACATCCCCTAACCCCAGCCCTGACCTATTATTGATAGATCATAGCAGCTGCGAATATTTTCTTCCTATTCCAACTCTACTTTGGCATGAAATGTAAGTAGATGATAAAGACACTAAACACTGCACATAAAAGCAACCCCAGTCACTTCAGTGGGTTGTTCACCTTTCTAATCTGAAGTGTTCTCACTAACACCACCACCCCTGTAAGATACATATTGGCCTTACTCTGGTCTAGGCCTTCTGAGCTTTGTCGTTTTCTGGGAACATTTATTTCTGTGATTAAAAACCAATTCCAGCTGGTTACTCCAGTAATAATTAACTACTGGGAACAGGTTGTTGAGAACTGTAATTTCTTCATCACTTGGATTTGTTTCACCACGATTGGATGTTTTTAAAAAAGAGCATTTCAATAAGCATCGAAAAGGATCCTAAACCAGTCAGAACAGTGAAGTGATTTTTCCACCTCTATGTCTGCACCATAGCTTTCTCCCTCGTATATTGAGAATTTCAATCTCTGGCTGACCATCAGGCAACAACATCAAATTCACTTTGAAAAAATGTAACCAGAGCAAAGCTGTGTTTTTTATTTCCTAGTTTGACAAAACTAGGGATGGCAGAGAGGATTTTGTTATTAAATTGAGCAGCTTCAGTTGCTTCTGGACCATTGCTGCAAATCATTATTTTAGAGGGATTAGTGATTTTCACAATGGAGGCTCCACAGATTTTCAAGATAATTACTCCTCAGCAGAAAAAATAGAATTGTTTTCAGATGGGTTTATCTTCACACAAGCCATTTCCAGTCTTTTATTTTAAAGGTTTAAACATAGCAGAAGAATTCCTTCATAAGCATGGAATTTTTTTAATAGCTAGTATGGCAGGCAAATTCTATAATACCCTTTTTAGAAGGTATATTACATAAAAAGAATATCCTTTGAACATTTTAGGATCAATTTCTACAAATGACTGGTTTAGTGAATTCTATAGTATTTTTGTAATAGTCAGACCTTTGAACACACAGCAGATTGCACCTGAAATTCCATAAGATAAATGTTGAATTTAGAAAAAAACAGCCACTGTATCCCAGTTGGCTTTGTGTATGTTGGAGAAAAAGCTAGGTCTACAGAAAGCTCCCAGTAGGAGACCAGGGAAGGAGTAAAGTTTATAGGAGTACTTTCTTCTAAAAAAGGCTGGTGGGCCTGTGGAGGAAGCAAACCAGATAGAAATGTAAACAAGCCCCAGAGAAGTGAAGCTATGTGGATGTATTTACTTTCCTCTGGCAATGAGTGAAACAGGAGAATTACTGGCAATAGTGTTTTTCTTCTTGTTACTGTTTTGTTGCTTTCTTATTTATGTGAGAAATGAAGGTTGACTGGTATGAGTAGCAGTCAGCTCTTGGAATGGAAGAATTAGCAATGTCAGAGAAAAAAATCCAGGAGAAGGAGTCTATTAGAGGTCTTGCAAATTACCAAAATATTTCCCTCCTGTTCTGGTCCCCAGCTATTCCTTCCAGTAACCCCTGAAAAAAAGCCATTCCACTTTCATCAGAGTGAGTCTTTTCCACCACAGTGAGAAGATATTTCTGACGTTTCAGGGAGGGTTGTGGTGCAGAAAACAACTTGGTGGCAAAGAGCTATTAGAATCACAGCATTCTTTGAACATTCATTGGGGCCTATTTTCTTTCCTTTTCCCCCATTTATCTACATATTAATTTAAATGTTACTAATTTAGCTTGAGGAGGAAGGAAGCATAAGGAGGAGTGAGCTAATGGGATCTCTGATCCTCTGAAAATTTGGAATTAAGATTATGCTTAATTGCAGATTGGGATGCAAATTGTCTAGAAAGACTGTTACCTCTTGACCAGCTAAATGCTACTAAATTCACTTCCATCATTTCTAATACTTGCTAATGTTATCATCCTCTATATTGGTTGACAAAGCAGAGATAACCAATTTTAAAACTTCTTTAACTAACACACTGTTAGTGTAGGAAATGACAGGTCCTTAAGACACAATGTAAAAGAAAAATAAAGTTGTCATACCTCAATATACATATATAGACCACACAGTGAGAACCTGCATGTACACAGTGACAATGGTCATGTGGTTCCATAATCTTTAGATTGTGCGGAAGGGTGTTACAGCAATGACTTATGCCAATGTTTTGAAATAAGATAGCTCAGAAAAGAATAGAATATAGATAAATAGATGTATAGTAGAAAAGAAAGTAACTTCAAGGCATTTCTAAGGATTTGCTTTAACACCTCTCTCAACATACACGGTTTTGGCTGCTAAGGCAGTGTGCATTATGGCCCTCAGATCTGAGCTGCTAGAAGTCTCTGTTCATTGTCTGATATTGGCCTGTGCTCACCTTTTCTCACCGAGTTTAAAACATGGGGATGACCATTCCAAAAAGTGCAAGAAACATAATTAAATTTCTTACTTTTTTCCCAGTCCAACCTTAAGCTATCTTCTCACAGATTATCAGTTTATGGGGCTACTGAAAAATCAGTTGAAGTACTTTCAGCCACAGTAGTGCAAAGATATATAAGTAATGAAAAGATCTGACTCTGAGTCTACTCACAATCTTTGATTTCCTTTGGAAGGATCTATGCAGACAGACAGCCTCACCAGAACTGCTAAAGGATTATTATATCATTGCAGGACCCCTAACATACCCATCTGCTGGCCTTTATCAGTGCTTCTGGAAGCAGCAAGGACTAAACATAATTCCTACAGTGTGCACTGATGCAGTTGGTAAAGCTGTTTGAGCTAAGGAAACATACTCCTCCTAGACCAACGTCTAGTGGAATTATGCAAATCACTATGCTGGTCCACATCTGTTTGTGTCAGCAGGGGTCCATCTATTGGAGACTTCCAAGCAAAAAAGGCCCATGACATTACATAGAAGGCAACAAAAAAACAAAACAAAACAAAAAAAAATCCAGGAAAGGAAAAAAAATACCAATCCCTGCCCCCACAAACAACAACTGAAGAGCCTGACTTAGGGAAAAAGTGCAATGTAACAATATAAGTTTAGTATTTTAAAGAACATTTGGGTGTACTGAATTATTGGTTTGCTTCACTCAACCTCACTGTATAATGAACTGCACACAAAGTAATATTTCTATAGCAAAAATGTAGAAACAGCTTGCTAGCAGCTTGTTGGTTTTGCTTCATCTTGACACGGTATGCTTCTCAGACTTTGATCTCTAATCTATTAATAAATGGACAATGTCAGGACTAAATTTTAAAATCAACAGAGTCAAATTCTGATTGTGCAGCTGGAATGGCATTGCAATCAACAGAAGAATGCCAAAATACACTTACATAAATGACAGCAGAGTTGTGTCCATTTGGTCAAAAAAAGGATCTCTTACCTCCCCTTTCATGAGAAAGCAACCAGTCATGTGGAGCAAATTATTTCCAGTAAAGCTGCAGCTGGTAGCATCAGTATCCAACAGTTCTACATTCATTTTCCCATTTTTTTCCTGTGCATGTTTTCTCAGTTTACAAATCAAATTCAGCATATGCTCTCTCTGTTTTTCCTTTGTTACTTAATTATAAATACTAAAAAGTCTGGGTCCTCTAGTCTGCCTCATTAACTTTGCATGTGTGGGGCTAAATGAAATCAAACAAGCCAGATTTAGATTTAAGAATTCCCTGAACTGAGGGCTCTCTAGCAGGTTCAAAACAGCATAAATTTTCCAGCTCCTTTTTCTCCCAAACTGGTGCAAAGGATGATTGACCTTCTCAGGCAAAGGGGCACAGTGGAACTAGATTAACAAAATCTGTCATTCCAACTCCCTGACATACCCAGAAAATTACAATGGTGTATGGGAGAGGGCAAAAAATTGTCTCTCTTCTAAAAGTAAAGAATAATTTTAAAATACTTGTTTTTCACCCAGCTGTTTTTACCTGGTTCTTTTTTCTCCCATCAGTATTGTGAATTGATGCATTGTGCTGAGCTGAATAAATCATGCACTGTGGCATGTTGACAGTACAAGCCCTTCATGAATCACAGTACTGAAATGCTTCATTAGATTTGATAAAAACAAACCCAAAATTTCATCTGCTTTAAATACATAAAGCCACAGTGTTGTAAGTCTTTATGCAGTTCAGGGCTATGTTACAACTGCCATGGCAATGACTGCAGCAATGGTATCTCTAATTTCATCTTCTTCTCTAGTTAAGTTTCCTTCTGCTGCACACTTAATCATCAGCGTTCTTCAGAGAAACCCATACACTGTCTCTGCTGTCATACAATAATTCTGGGTATGTTATTCAGATTCATGATTCAGTTGGTGAGTTTTCTCCTCTGATGAGGTCACACATGTGCACTAACTCTCCTGCTGCCTTATTAACCTGCCTCTTGTGAAAAACAAACCATTCTTTACTACTGTAACATCACTGAAATCAATGGTAAGATATGAACAATGGAGTACAAATTTGGGATCAACATTCATTTCACTAAGACTTTCCTCACTCTGTGCTGTAAAAATGTTATTGGATCTATGTTTTAGTCTGAGGGAGATTCACACATAAGTATTCCACATATCAAGAGAGTTCTGAAAATTTGGAAGTGCGTGAACTAGTGGATGTGACCGTAAAAAGTGCCTCCCATGCCACTATGTCACGCGGCTGATAGAAGAGAAGCAAAGCTGATGCACTCTTCTGCTGAAAGCTATTTCTGAAAGACAGGAGTACAGCTGAAATCATACACATGGCAATGTAATTATTGAGAGGCCTGTGCAATGAAGTCAGTGGAAAAACTACAGCTGGCTTCAACAGGAATTGAATGGGCTTTATGACTAGTCATCTGAAAATAAAAGGACAAGGGGAAAAAGCCTGGTACAGATTCGCTGGGTGTAAAAAAATCCTCGCTGCCTGTGGAAAATTACAACTACCAGATCATAGGGTATATTCTGAAAGCTGCTTTTATGTACATCATAAGTATTGCTTTCTGGGATGATCCAGCGATAAAATACATACCAAACTGTTGTTTGCTTTCATGGAAATGCTACTTCCTTTCTGAGATGGCACTCTCAAAAATTTAAATTCCTTGTGAGACAAAGCAGGTAGTAATAAGATGTCCAGACTAACAGATATTAGACTAGACAGGTATTAGGCAAGAGGTAATCCTAACTTTTGTTGTCAAGAAACAGACGTATCTCAACTATTGTTTAAAATCAGGCAAGATTTTTGCTCTCTGACAAGACAGAATTTCTAGGGTAACAAGAAATCCTCTCACATTCTCCTGATGCATCCAGAGGAATTCTTACCCCAGGTCTCCCTCCTGGCATGCTTGCCAGGCCCTACCTCCCCGCAGCTAGTGTCAACAAGAATAGCTCCACAAACTTCAGCTAGCCTCCCAAATTTATGATTCTTTACACAGCTGATTATTGTTCCTCATATATTTTATTCTGGCCTCATAATCCAGAGCAGTTCAGTCTATTTGCATGAATCATGAACACAGAACTGGTGACGCAAAGGCTCAGACAAAGCTTATTAGTGGGGCAGCTTTCTCATTTTACCTTTCATGAAGGAGAGTCAAAATTGAATCCAAACTGTGAACATCCCACTGAATACTCCCCTTATCCACATGCAATTTAGTTAAATGAAGAAATAATCATCACAGCACCCAAGACCACAGAGACAACATGGTAATAAACTGAAAGCCTGTGGGTAGTTTTTTAATTTTGTACAGAGCAGACAGATTTAGGAATTGGTGGTTCATTTCAATCTCTCAAAATGAATTTGATTACTAAGTAATTTGCTAATTGCTACTAGACTATGCAGTTTACAGGTATACCTTAATCCCTGCTCTCAAAGAATCCTATTCTAATTTTTTTTTTAATTGGTTCTGAAAAGGAGACAATTTGAACAGTTTCTCTTATTGATATGCTAAACACAAAGAAGTCTCTTGCCTTCAAGTATTTCTGGATTTCTTCTTTCTTTATTTCCTGGAGTATAATGAAAGAGGTGAGCTGCAATTAAGTCTGTCATTCAATTTTAAGTGACGCTACTGGACAGAGTTTAAATAAACTTCCAGAGAGAGGATAAACTATTAGCCAGCACAGCGCAAACATGTGCTGCTTACCTCCAAATCCAGGTCTCAGGGCAAAGTCATGGTCCTCTATGCGAAGAAGCTGCTCGGATTTAAGTGGCCGTGCTTTGGTGCTGTCAAGTTTCCTCATTTTAATTTCTCGTTTGCTATGTTTAAAAAAAAAATGTAAGCAACTTCATTTATTTTTTTTTCTGCCTGACATTCAGAGTGCTAGTTAAATGAAGCAGGGACCCAAGAACATTGGACAATTGAATCTGGTATGATAAGGGAAACAACTGTGCTAATAAAGTCGGAGAAAGATATATTGGAAAAGGTAGGGAAATCAGGTATGAGGGTGCCCAGGTCCATGAGGAACACCAGTTATATATAAAAAGTCCCAGGAAGATCATCTAGCTCTTCTTCTATTCCCCTCAAAGACTGTATCTCTCATTATGTAAAAGATTATACCTGTTAGAAAAAATGTTACTATTCACATAATCACTTGCAACTGAGACTTGGAAATAATACCATGTATCCATGGTTTTAAACCACTTCATACATTATCCATATTACAGAGACAATTATACTTTTTATCATGAATCGATTTTTTTTTTTTTTCCCCCCTAGGAGCTGAAATGAGTCAAGACTTTTTCAGAAGGACTGCAAAACTGATAGTCCTGGATCTAGGGGCTTGTTTTTTTGAGCTCCTCTTAAACATCATTCAGATTTGGCCAAGTTACTCCCTAGCTCGTCCCCTTACTTGCTGCTCAGACACGCAGCATTTCTTCCATATGAGTCCCATCTCCACATTTTTCTCCATGCCACACATATCTGAGCCTCTGCAGAGCACCAAGGCAACACGGATGAACTTGGGCTCTAAGCAGGATGCCATGAATTCTGTACTTCTTTCTGGTGACTGTTGCTAACTTTCTTCCCTTCACAGAACATACTGAACAACATCCCAAATTCCACTGGGAAATTCACATGCCTCAGAATGGACTCAAGCTCTCCAGATGGAAATCTCGTGTGCTGGGCCTGCATTTAAAATGAACAGCAGGTGCCCATCACAATGCAGACTCCTTTTCCATTTTTCCTATAAACAGAAACCATGGCACAAACAGCAGAGGGGTCTGGTACATGCCCATATCACAAAGATATTGGGTTAAAACCTAGACAAGATCTACAGACAGATCTAGCAGCTGGCGTGGGGGTGGGGGGGCACGGTTGCTAGAAAGAATCCATCCCACTATTTGGTCCTGCTATAAGGAAAATGCTGTGGTGTCTCCTTAAGTTTCCACTCCTTGTTGCACATCCTGCTTTAAGTGGCTGGCCCCAAGTAGTAACACAACTAGCCATGCCTAAACTGCAGAATTATGCCTAGCTTTTGGCCCCCATTTCAGGAAAGGCAGGAGAAGATTGTAAGGACCTGTGTAGTTTAATTTAGAGGAAGACAACTGAGGGAACACATCAGTCTTCAGAACACATCATGAGATTTTAGAGTGCCCTTTGCTCCATGAGCACTGCCCAGTAGGACAAGCTGTGGCAACAAGGGAGATCTGTGGTACACATTAGGAAAACCTTTCTCATGGTGAGAATAGAGAAACATGGGAACACACTGCTTGGGCAGGTTTTGAGACTCCTTTCACTCAGGCTATTTAAAAATAGGTTAGACATATATCTATAGGAATGACTTCAATATAGCTGCTTTGCCACAGGCAAGGGACCCTCCCTAGACATCACTTCTTTCATACCTTCTATGATTCTCTGGGACTTTGCTGCTAGCAACTCTAATTACTACTTTAGACTGATAGAAATCTGTTCTGAAGATTTGCCCTGTAGTCAAACACTGCTTAAGATGAGGTATGGAATGTCTTAGGATAAGGTATGCACCTGTATTTACTTAATTTTTTTCCTCCTTTCCCCCCCTTTTTTTCTTAAAAATGAAGATGAAGAAATTACTTTTTAAAATGCTATGGTACAGGATGCTGAGGTGGCTGCTGGGCTATTCAGAACCATTGGGCTTGACCAAATTAATTTACCTGAGTATTCTTGAATGTCTCTGTTGTCTGAACCAAATTATCAAGGCAATCAGAACGCCCATCAGGCATTTCAAATAAAGACTTTCATTTTCTGAGTATGAAAATTATGTCGATGCTAAAATGAAAGCCTATGCTTCAGAGAATTGAAACCATCACAGAGCAAGCTTGTATCAGAGCAGAATGGGCAGTAGGACTGAACATCTGTAATGCTCTGCAACACGTATACGTGGAAATTCTGCTGCTTGGGAACTAGTACAAGAGAAAACACTGAATTATGTTCAGAATGCCATGAATGCCATGGCACAGCTAATACAGTTTGGAAGCATTAGGTTATTTGTCATTGGATGTGCCAAGGAAAATAGCTGTTTGATGCTCCAAGGATTTCACTGGAAGAAGCAGGCTAAAACTATGATACATTTATTACAACTTCTTACTAGAAGCAAGTATGTGACTGAGGAAGACTTTCCCTAGTCACAAGAGGCAAAATATAAGCTACTAGGGCAGGAATTTTTTTTTCTTAATGAGCCACTGAGAAGAGATGTTATGGGATTTCGGTATTCCTTCTGTTTTCCTGGATGAGGACAAAATAAACAGAAATGCTGCCTATATGAAAAGTACCTTTTGTGCCCACCTATTTGAACAGCCTCTTCAAGATGATGTTCTATATACAGCTGGTGGAGTAACTATAATAATTATTTTTAGCAGCTATCAAAAGGGATTGTTCAAGCTAGGCAAGATCTTGCAGGAGTCAGAAGAGCACTTTCATTACAAACATGCCACATCTTTTCTTCAATACCTTCCTTTGGCAGAATATATTTTTTATTGTAAAGGAAAATAGGCTTACATGCAGAGATATATGCTCATAGTGCTTGCAATTAATTTCATGGTAACATTGCATGTGTAAAGGTACCAAAATTTAGAAAAATTCCATTAAAAATTCTCAAATAATTAAAAATTTAAAAAATACACTTCTGCTTCACAATTTTTCTCCTCCTTGCCTGTTTCCCCCACCCAAGGCTAAGAAGTGTTCTCCAGCAGATATTCCTTTAACATCAGCATCTGGACTCCAGATGTTGCTCTTTGGCTACAAGTTATGGTATTAACTTGTCCTCATTGCAGCATTAGTTATTTAACTGATGACTCAAAGGGAATTGCATGCATGTATTTTTGTTTACTCCCAAGAAATCCTAGACCCGTATCTAACTATTGATCAGCACCACAGCATTGTGAAATCATTTGCAGATGTTTTCCTGAGTGCTCCTTCCCATGGCACCACTTCCATTAAAAAGCAGAAGAGACAGATCTAACTAGCCTAGGTCTCAGAAAAGCTTCCCAAGGTCAGTCAAGATATACTTTTCATTCTCACAGAAGCACAGCAAAGATACCGATTGTATTTTGGTGGCCTGGCACCCTGGTCTCTTCATCACACAGCTTTGGCCAGTGCACCATAATCTAGGAGACTAAATGCAGTCATTGATTCTGTGCGTTCACTGTATGGCGTACGTCAGGCTGTGGAGTTTGAGAGGAAAAGCCCACATGCACGTAAGGAAAGGAAATCTCTCTTTACCTACGTGGGGCAGTGGTATTAAAGGGAACTCTGACAGATGGCTTGGTATTAGCATAGATCTTGTCAATACAAGTTTGTCAGTCTCAGTGAAGCACATGCCTAAGAAACTACTGCTTCCAGTCATAATAGCTCTGCTTTCCATAGCTGTATTCCAGGCAACATTTTACATTATGCAAATGAAATGGTAATCTATAATTGAATTCCAACAGAGGTCATAAAAAGCACTTGAAGGGTTTCAGACCACATAGAGAAGACACCCCTGCTGGTACTCATAGAGGAAGTTAATGGAAGGACTAGCTCTTCAGATGAAAAAAGTGAGATACACTCTTTGGACACTTCAGTAGCCAATACTGTCATATGGAATCATGGCTCAATGCCTTGGTATCTGACAGAGCTCTCAAAGAGCAGACAGTCACTGCCTACAAAACCAAAGTAACTAATTCAGAATTCTTTAACAATGCACAAATACATGACAGGCTTTTAAAGACAACTTTAGTTCCTCCTACCTAACTTTGAATATCTAATATTGAGTGCAAGATCAAAAGGCTACTCAAGGGCAGTTGGATCATTTTTCATTTAATTATGTGTTTTTATATATATAAAAATTAAGTATTTAACCACATAATGCCATCAGTGTCGTTCCATACCCAGTGGCATTCATAGGAGTGATGTGGTTAGTACCTCATCTGGTTGTCTTTCACTCATCAGGCTATCAGAAGTTTGTATTGGTTCATGCAGAAATTGGACAAGTTCATGGAAAAAAAATCCAATGAGCATCACTAAGGCTGTAGAAAACACATTCAACACAGGAAGTCACTGAGGGACATCTGGTGACTGGATATGGAGGGAAGTATTCAGGGGAAATATATGTTTGCCCTGTTCTTATTCTTCCAAACTTACACTACTTTAGTATCCAAGATACTCCACTTCCTTTATTGCTGCAGTAGGGAAAAAAAGGTCATCACATTCAAAATGAAACTTGGTAAGTTCATGAAAAGAATACTATGAAGGACCCTAGATTTAATGGCCATAAAATGCCAGTGCTATGTCCCTGAGATACTCTAGCTATAAATAAATAAAAGGTACCCAAAAAGTAAAAGTTACAGAAATCTTATTCCCAGGAGTCTGTGGAGTTATATAGCAGTGTGATCTCTTAAACTTTTAACATATTTGTCAACTTTTGAAACCCAGATAAATGTAAGCATCAAAATCACACAGTTTTCTCTCTCTCATAAAAATGCATTTCCAAGTGTTCAGTAACATCAGCAATGTGTACTGTCAAAAAGCCTAATATTTTGACAGTCAAATGTTTTGTTCTTTGCTGTAGGAAATGGACCATGAGAATAATCTCTTTCTCATGTACTTTTGGTTAATGCTTTAAAATCTTCTTTACAAGAGAATGCAGACAAATAGCTTTGGAGGGAGAATTGGGTTACTCTATTAAAACAGTGGAACTTGTAGGTTAAGTAACATTTTCACATGGGATTCTTTTTTAAAAGACCACCCATTTAACCAAGGCCATCTGTCAGCTGTGTCCCTAATAATCCTAGTGCTGCCTGAAAGGTTTTTGCCCAGAAAGAAAAAGAAGCTGGTGGAAAGTCAGACCCTGTTGCAATGTACTGGAGGATAATGCTGCCTTTACAACAAAATCAGAGAATCAAACAAAGAGAAATTAAACATATTTGGATCCTTTCCACAGAAAAGCTGATTTGCAGCTGTTAAGCTTTGGGATCTTTTGTGGCTCAGATTCTGCAGTTTTCTTCCCAGTTCCAAATCACTACGGCCTAGGAAATCAATGGATTTGGCCATGGAAGGCCAAAAAACTGCTATGCCAGTCAGCATCAGCTGAGAATGCAGTCCTGATATTCCTCCTTGTTCCTAATCTTCCTTTCTGTTAACACACTTCTGCCTCTCTCACAGGATTGTCATATGAATCCATTTGTATGTATTAGTAAAGATCTGTGAAGACGGAGAGGACACTGTACTAAAATTGTTACTGCTGTCCTCTAGCAAGAGGTCAGCAAAGGATGTCCAGCAGGATGCCACAAAATATGCTGTTCTACCACCAGGCTTCTCTCCTGCTTTGTAGGGGTTTTTTTAAGTCAGTGATGGAGCAGCTCTTCTCAGCTCTTCCAGAACAGGATAAATGCAAACAACAGTGGCATATGTTTCCCTTTTACCACTGTCAAAAATGTATTGGCTGAGCTTAAAATAGACATTCCTTACCACTACAGCAATAAGAAGATAATTTATTCTGTTTCTATTTGATTCTTCCTGAGACTAGCAAAGCAGCAGTTTAGACCTTTTTTTTGTTACTACAAATAATCGGGCTCTAGGACTCACTCCAAAATTGTCTGAGTTTGAAACAGTCTGCTCAGTAGCCATCCTTTTCATGAGCTTTTGGCTTAGACCAAACTTGAACCTATGACCTTGAATTGAAATCCAGAAGTACTGAGTGACATAGCATCTCTGGGCACCTCCATTGTATAACTGGGATATGTTCTGTTGCCTTGCTTTGCTTAAACATGATTTTTTCAAGACATGTAGGGATTCAGAGATATGTCGCTGCTGGATTATCACATAAGAAGTGATACAGAAGAAACAGCTGTATGCCTGCTACAAAGCATATAACTCTTAAAAACAGCCTAAACACATCAGAGGAGTCTAATTATGTTACTTTTCCTCAATATGTGATATCATATGAATAAACTATGAGCTCCCCTGTCCATTTGAATAAGGGGCCAAGTACACAGAGAAATGTAACAGCTGTATTCCTTAAATAGAGCCACTTACTCCTTATTCCTTAAATAGACCTACTTATTAGAATTTCACCTACCTCCCACCTCCCAAGAAAGAGAGATTTTGCTTGGATTATCACTGGCAGTCATTGGGCTGTTTACATACTATTAGATTAATCTGGAAACACGTTCAGCAGCCTCACATAGCAGAAGTGAAATTGCATTTGTGGGAAAAAGCACTAGCACTTTGCACAGAAACTTACACGTAAAAACCTTTGTACCATTATTCATTTTAAACCAGCTCCTTGACTGTAAAGACTAAGAACTGTGACAATCTCCAATGTCTAAAAGCATAAGTATATTCCAGAAAGGGAATCCACTGTGCCATCATGACAAATAACGTAAAATTCACCTCCTTTAGTGCCATAAAAATGTCTTCTATATCTTGATAGTGTAGCTACACTGCTGTTTAGGTAATGGAAGTCACTTTATAACATTGGCATAGAACTTTGGAAGGCATTTCTGCTTCTTGTAATGAGAGCTAGAGGGCAAGAATACTTGGTACATCACAACAGTAGCCTGGTATCACACAAGTTAAAAGAGCTGTGTGTGGGTGTGTGTGTGTACATACCTGCATATACATGAAGCATTCATGAAATCACAATATGAAATGCCTGGTTATGAAAACTTAATTAATAGTTCACCATTTCTGTTTTGGGAACACCCTATCAATGTACTATGCATAGTATAAATTCAAAAACTAGCAAAACAGGACAGTGAACAAAAAGGGTACATTGAAAGGTTGCTGACAGCATAAAGTTTATCAGATGAACACAGACAGAGAGAATATATTGCTTACCTGTTATGCTTTCTCAAGAATGAGAATTGTTGGTGATGGTGACTTTGAGAAGTGTGTAGCACTGCTGTCGGCCACAGGCAGGTGAGGAACAGAAGTTTAATGACCAGGACCATCTCTTCCAAAAGAGAAATGCACCTGATCAGCCAATCCACCTTGCTGACTTCTTATTTTTCGTGTTTTTGCTGTTTAGAAACAGCATAGCATACAAAGGATGCCCGTGAGGTAAGCCATCACTGAAGAGAGAAGACAGGGGCATCCCAGTTCTGATGTCCCCTCCGAGTTCCCCTCATATCTTGACAAATCATAAAAATTCCTTCAGCTCTACATCCCTGCGACAATCTGCTGTCAAACCATAAGCACCTTGCTTTTAGAAATGTAGTAGATACAGCAATTTGTTTGGCCAGGCTGCAGCCTGGTCCATTGCTTCCACTCTTTCAGCATAGGCGCATTTTTGAATTCTCCATCACCCGCTCAGTAACCTCTTCGACATAGCCTGTGCAGGCAAAGTGATGTCAAACATTTAATCCCCCTTAAATCCCACACAAAACCATACAAAAATCTGCTTTAATGACAAAGGTCTCTAAATTAATCTTGCTTTCTATATATGTGTGTATCTGCTCAAAATAATTTTCTGTACAGATCAAGCTCTTTCATTAACTGGCTACATTGTATTGTCTTCCCAACCATTAATATAATTTCTGTTTCTGTGATCTGCAGTAGCAAACCTTTTGTCTGTAGATACAGAATTACTTTTGGACAGCACAATATCATGCAACAAGTCCAAACTAAAAATGAAGTCTTGTTTCAACATTCCTCAGTAACATTTGGAAATACCAACTTTTTTTTTCATTTTCTCTTTTCTTTTTCTAAGCTCTGCAGCTATCTATTTAATTTACCCTAAGTTTACAAGGCATGTGCATGTCTAAGATCTAGTATCCTCCCACCACTCTTAATTTTATTTTTATTTCATTTAGCCTGCCTTGTCTGTTCAAAAGCAGATTGAATTGCAAAACATTTTATTAACAAAATGTTGTTTAAGCAATAACTTGAGCATGCCCGCTTCCCTATGAAAGGTGATAAGATTTCTTGTGGGCTTAAAACTGGGCAATACTGGACACACCTTCTTAGCTGACACAGTCAAATTTATCCTTTTCAAGCCATCAGCAAGTTCAGTAATTATCAAAATTGACAGTACATTTGTTTCCTTTATCTAGGAAATTAGAGATATAATACTGAAAGTTAGGGAAATGGAAACACCCAAGCCCTGTCTAACAGATGCAGAAGTAATTCAGGTGTCCCAGCAGTAGGCTTCTTCCTAAGAAAGACAAACAAACAGAGGAATGAAAGCAAACACAGCACTGTGTGTACTGAGACTGTTAACAGCCAAGCATATTGGGATAATAATTCTGTGATGTGGACATCTGTCTCCTCAGAAGTTCCCTGAAATTCCCAACTAACTTCATTTGGGCTAAGAAATAATTCTCAGATACACATTATTTCCAGGAGGAGGTTACCAAAGGACAGCTAATTCCCACTGTTTTTTTTTCCATTTGGAGTTGAACAGTTATCTGCCTCTGATTTAAAAAAAAAAAATCCTTTCCCAACCACGCCTAAAACTTTAACAGCATTAGACTGAATAAAGTGGCCTATATCAAAGACTTTCAACCCTATTACCTATCACATTCAACATTGTTCATCATTTAATCCTTTCTTGTTCAGCAAACTTATGGAAGATCATTTGTAGCCTGACCCAGGGATAGTCACACAGTGCTTCCAGCAGGTCTGGTGTATTCCCAGGGTGGAGTTTCTGGAGAAGGTAAACACAAGGTGTAGTTAATAAGACCTTTAACAGCTTACATCAATTTGCACATCATTTGGGTGGAAAAGGGAAAATAAATAATAACTCTAATGAGAATTTATTCCAGATAGAGTTTAATACTTGTTCCCGAGCCAGTCTGGTTGTCTAGTTTCACCCAGCCTACATATATCAAAGTATCAGCACACCTGATTAAATTACATGTCGGAAAAGATCCAAGAGCCTTTGGATCCTCCTCTTTCCGTACCCAAGCACAGGCCCAACAGTAGCAGCAACAATAGCAAATCAGATAAAAAGCTAACTACACTGCAGGCTGTGTGGTAAATGTGTTACCATACTTCTGCATGTTCAGCTATCTGCACATTCATCAATGTTACCTCATTTCCAACCATTTTCCTCAGCTACAAAGGAATAACAACATGTATAAACTGTCTTCTCTGCTAACAGTAACCATCCACATTGTTTCCAGAGACTTTTGGGAAAGCTATATTTTAGATGTTACCATCATCCTTAGCTGAAAACTATAGCTATTATCCTCACTAAGCAGGAGATGTGGAATGGGGAAGGAGAGGATATTCCAGCTGTTGAGGTCTCAAGACCTTGGATCTCCAAGATCTCTGAAGGGGACCTGAGGTTAGATCATATCATGCTAATGCATAAATGTGTTGACTTTGTGTCCTGACCTCAAGGAAGTCAAAAGAGTCCATTAAAAATAAATGAGTAAAAATTGCTTTGTGTATTTGTTTCCCAGCTGGAAAAGGGAGTGCTTAGAAGCCCTGCTCCAAGGATATGGCAAAGACAAACAAGCGGGCTTTGCAGAACGAGGACTGGCGTGCCCCTGGCCAAGCTGCATATGGATGTCCCTCCCTCCAAAAGACACATCAGCCAAGACGGGAGTCTTTAACATAGAAAGAGGTAATTAGATGTTGTTTTCATTCAGCTATCAGCACCCCACTGTTTTATTATTCCTGGCTGTAGCAAGAACTTTACTACTAAGCTGTGGTGCTGAAAAGACTGCTCCATGGAGGATTTCCAAAACATGCTCAATGTTCCTTTGACTGCCTCTGCTAAATCAGCTTTAGTCAAAAATAAAGGCTGGATGCACTGACATATTCCACGACCTTCACGCCACCAATGTCATAACATTCAATATTACCTTTGTGGGGCCTTGCCTAAGCACACTGAACATCTAAGCACTACCCCTCTCTCCTTGGCTATGGCATATTTCCAGAAATTAATTGTCTAGCCCACACACGCAAAGTCTTCAGGAGGGACTCCTGCAGAGTGAAATGGTGAACACTTCCATTAACGAGTCTGTAATATCAGTGAGGGCAACTAGATGTCACCCACAGCAACAGGGTTTCTTCATACTAGAGTTGTTTTCATTTCCTCTGGGTAAGAGAGCATTCCACAGAGCAGATTATAGTATCATTATAAATTACCATTACGAAAACAGGTTCATCTCCTATGCATTTGTCACTAATAAATTCTAAAGTGATCCTTCTTTGCAGAAGAATAAAGACAAGATAATACACTTTGCTTGTATTGGGCGAGGTGTTGATAGGTCCTTGTATTTAAATACAGAACATTGTCTCTTTGCTACCATTAAAATATTTCTTTAAAATTATCCCTCCTCTGTAGCCCATGAAAAGTTTGTAATGCTTCTCTTTCAAAGACAAAACCCAGTGCATGCTAACAGTGCACAAGCTCATTGGAACAGTTTACAAACAACCAAGCAAGCAAAAGAAATAAAGGTAAATACCACACTTTTAGTACCAAAAAATGAGAGGCCTTGTTCTAGCGAGCAAAATAATATGCAGTTTCAGGTAATTACAACCTGCAACTACAGACCCCTCTCTGCCACAGATCACGAAGCAAAGCAAATTGACCACAGCCATTATAAAAACAAGAACAGAAAAATGCCAGGGATGAAGAGATGCTTCAGAGGCTGGAATTTTGCAGAAAATCTGAGCGCATCTAAAGACCATTTTAAACATATGGAGCTGAAACACCATAGCACACTAGCATTTAACAACCTGTAAATTAGCTGCACAACACCGAGAAGAGATGCAACGTGGAAGGGGGAGCATAGGTTTACCTGGAATGTAATTTTTATTCTCCTAATCAGAGAATGAAACACAAGGAAAAAAACATTCCTAAGAGTATCCTAAGAGGAACTTTTTTCTGATAAACAACCAGCAAATCGTAGAAAGCAGATTAACCAGAGCAGTGACTGTGATATATGAATGCAATACTGCCGCGCAAGAATAGGCAGTGTTTTGCTTTTCTATGGTAAGAGACTCAGTGCACCATTATGTCATGGTGACTTGCAAAAATAGTAGTCAGAATTAAGGACACTTTGTCCTGTTTATATTAAGACAGATGATGAACCAAGTTTCCAGAATAAGGTATCCATTCACATTTCCTAACAAGATGAAGTGAGAGGAAAGCAGAGACTGAGCATTATGATTTCAGTTTGCAGATCTCCGAACAGATGAAGTGCTTTACTTAACTCTTGCAGTGGGACCCAGCTCTTATCGCCCTGCTCTTTACCAAGTCTCTTAGTAGGGGTGGCAAATGAACGTTTATCCTGTCCCAAGTAGCCTAAGGTAACAAACTGGGCACATCAGGACTGCAAAGTACTAAAAGAGAAAAGAACTCAAAAGCCAGCAAAACCCACAGTTCAGCCCAAAATCTGTGCAAGATTTTTGCATGGTGCTTACTGAGATGGACTATCCCCCTGAGGTTTTGCAACCAGCTTAAACAGAACTATTGAGCTACTGCTGAAACACTGTCCCCTCCTTCACCCCTGCAGTGCACTACTACTTGCTACCCTTACTTCACCATCAGCAACTGCTCAGCCAGTTGTTAAAGGAATGGGCAGCAGTGTGGGACGGAGGATCTGCCCTCTCTCTGCGGTGAGAGGGGTTAAGCCAGCCTTGAAACTGTACACTTAATTTCTGCTAGTCAATATAAAAAATAGCAATAATATTGAAGTAAGCACATAATATTTTCCATTAGTAGTAAAGCTAAATCTCCAACTTGTAATCTAAACTCTAAAGTGCAACTTGCAAATAACATGAACTCAGAAGCCACTATGAGAAATACAAAATGTTCAGCTTCTAGTTGGCTTCATTGGCAACTGAGTGGTCAACACATCTTAAAATCAGTACTCTGAAAACCGTACACAGCCCAGTTGGCAAGACATGCTAATGAGAGATCAAAATCCTAGAAATCAAATGTACCTTTAGTGGTCTGTCTTTTCTTCTCATTAGAGAACAATCATTTGTTATGTTT